CATTACATGCCCCTTTTTTCCCTAGATGATGTTCATGTTGGATCAGTGAGAAAGGCACGCCTGGTTGTGCTTCAACCAGCACCTTACTATCATTTTAGTCCCCACCTGACTGCACTAAGCAATTGTACCACAGAGACTCAAACGGGTCGGTTTTCTCCATTTACAGTTTTTGGGAAAAAATAATCTGCATTAAGATTGTATTTCAAATTTCACAAATTGAAAGTATTTCTTGAAAAACGTTGTTTCAGAAAGAAACTGAGTAGACGTGAATAGCCCAGTCAGTAGAATATCGAACTTTGCATCTCAGGGTCCCTATTCAGGGGGCTGATTTTCTTGCAACTACTTATTCCATGCCGAAACAAGAACGAGAAACAACATTTCAGCAGTGGAGTCTTCTTTGGGTGTGATACAGATTAACCTTTACTTGTTTCTTTCAGATTATTTAAACCTCCTCTCCAGCACCTAAACTCATCAGTTGCTTTCAGTAGCTAAAGACACAGACCACACTGCTCCAGTTGAGGTTCAAACTCACAACCTCAGCATAACTCCACTGTCCACTGCTGTATAAGTACCACATGCTGACCGATTGTGCCACTGATGCTGTATACCTCCCTCTCCTCATACAGACTGCAGCTGCAGAAACACAGGGTGAAAACATGGTTTCGATTGTGGATCCATCTTCACATGGGGGAAAGGGACAGTAAAATAGCAAGGAAAATACAAGAGAAGAACTGAAAGAATTGTGCTCACGGCAAAGTAGGAAGGAAAGAGGTGGCCGGATACATAAAACAGCTCGGCGGATAATTTGTAACGCCAATATTTTTTTTAACTAAGTAGCCTTAATGGCAACACAGTGTTAGGAGTTCGGCTTTTCTTATTTCTTCTGCAGAACCAGTGGTATCGGAATATACTGATCCGCATAAGAAGCGCTTTTGGTTTCTGATCGATTTTATTGAGCACTGCTCTAAACTTTACATTTGCTCGTGCTAGTTTTCCCCATGAAAGAAAGACATTTCTCTACATGATTTCACTTTTTTTCTTATCAACGAGGAGAAAGAAATAAAATATATAATTCATTATAAGAACCCCAGGCAAGATGGCTGGTGGTCTAGGGCATTCAGTTCACAGTTTCCCCTGGAGATGTTTGTTCAAATCTCACTTTTAATAAAGAGGTTTTTTCTTGTTAGAGTAGAAATGATAGAAGCCTTAAGTGGGAAAAAAATCACAACATCTTGCATTTCACGTGTTTAACGTTAATTGTCTCAGTGGTTGTTTTGGTGATGGCTCTTCTCCCTTGCAAGGTGGCGGCAAACTTCTTCAGAGAGGGAGTCTCCCACGCATGGCTTTTCTTCATCAAAAGCGGAGACAACAGAAACAGACTTCAAACTGAAATTAATTACTTCTTGAGCGTTTATGACAGTCTTTAAAAAGCTGAGAGAAGGCGAAAACATCAGTAGTATAGAGGGACACCTTTCGTCAAACTTTCTGACATGCTGTACATGCCTTACCTGTAATACAGCTACTAATAAAGATATACATTAAAGTTAATTATTAATAAATACTACTATTATTCATAAAGACGTATTCATAAGATTCATCGTGAATAGTTGCGGTGTCTGGAAAGCAACTGTAGTTACATATAGAAAAAAAGAGTTGTAGTTATTGAGGTAATTTCAGGTAGAATGTAAGAACTAAAGTTAACTAGTCCCACAGTAATGCGTGGGGTCCTATCAATAGAAAAAAATTGTAACTTGAAAAAAACAACAACCACAAAACGAAAAGTCTTCTGGGAACCTAGGTAAATCCCTGTAGTGGTCTAACAACTATAAAAACAAACAAACAAATGAAACAACTTCAAAACATATAGAAAAACAACATTAAAAACATATCTGGGGAACAACAAAAACACAGAATCTAACTGCGAGAGCTTTTTCAAGTTTTTGGTACTCCATCGTGCTCCTCTCGTCTAAGTAGATATCTCTCAGGTCAGTTGGAGGTCCACAGCTGATGGTAATTTAAGTAAGTAGCTGTGTCAGCATGCATGGGCTGCAAAGGAAGGAGGAAAGGTTTATTCCATGTTGAAACGAGAAGAAAACACAACGTTTTGGCTGTGGAGCCTTCTTTGGGTGTGATATGAAATAAACCTTCACTTGTTTATTTCATGTTAATTTAGACGCGATCTCTAGCAAATACCTAAGAGCATCTAAACTCGTCAGTTGCTTTCGGTAGCTTAAGACACAGGCTACACTGCTTCAGGTGAGGTTCGAACTCACACCCTCGGCATGACTCTGCTGTGCACTGCTGTAGAAGTACCACGCGCTGACCAATTGCGCAACTGGAGCTGTGTAACTACCTCCATCACTTGATGTTCATCACTTGTATTTTCTTTAGTGTTTCCCTCGACTGTCAGGCCTTCAAGGTTTGCTTTCAGAATCTGATTAAACACATGGGGTGAGTGTTTAAACCCCTGTGGCATACGAGTGTATGTGTATTTCTTACCTTTGTATGTAAATGCAAACAGATGTCTGCATTTTTCTGCCAGGGGTACACTAAAGAATGCTCCACATAGATCAATTACCGTAAAATATTTAGCATCAGGGGGAACATTAGTCAGTTATGTGTGTGGATTTGGAACATCAGCAGGCCAATCCTGTACTATTTTGTTTACTGCCTTTAGGTCATGGACCAGTCTCCACTTTTGTTTATCTGCCTTAGGAACTGGCAACAGGGGTGTATTGCAACAACTGTTTGTTTCTATCAATACCCCTGCTTCGACTAGTCCTTCAATTGTCATTATTATATCCTCTTCTACCTCAGGCTTCATGCTATATGGTGCCTTCCAAGGGAGTTTGACACCAAGTTTTGTGCTTATGTACACAGGGCTGGCTGATTCTACCAATCCTACATCAGTATCGTGTTTTGACCATACCCTAATAGGGATGCTGTTCTCCATTTTTTCCCTAAGCTGATCACTAACTGTCATTTCTCCACCTAACTGTACCTGCTGTCTGGCTGTAATTTCTACCTCTCGTGGAACTCCAGTCATCAATGTGGCGCACAGTATCTTAATGAGTGATTTATCTACAGAGTGATAAATCAAAGGATTATCTATTTTTTCCCAATGGATTTCTTTTGCTCGCTTCATCATGGGACCTAGGTCCTTCGCTGTAGCTCCCTCATTTACCAGTAAATGAGGTAAATGAGACACCTGTTCCAGCTGTCAGCCTACTATACCATGTTCAACCAACACTAATAATATTACTGTTGTAATAAAGGAGCAAGAGAAGCGCGGCCAGTAGAGCTGGCGACCCTTAAGTTTAGGATTGTGGATTCAAGGGTCATTTGTGTCCTTTCTTATCACTCTAATCTTTTAGTAGAACAGTGCAAGCAGGACGTGATAGCATACAGTGACAACCCAATATCTTATGAGCTTTGTGTAATTCAGCTTTCTTACCACTTTGGGGCTCGATTCAGATATCGCTGTGAAAGCAAGGGGCAAGCAAAGGCTTTTCTAAATCGAGGGTTATCTGCTCCCGAGTAAGTATAAACACATGAGTGTTTACTGTTTGAAGACCGCACTTTGTCAAAATACTGCTTTTTCTTAATTTCACATTATGGTATTTAGACGGGGCAAAGTAGTGTAGCCCTTGTACAACTTTGATTAGCGTTTGTTATTCGGTTTTGAGGTTTGAGGAGCGTAATGCAAATCGAGCTGGTGAATAGAAAATGAAACAGGAATCACTTCTTCGGCAAAGAAATCCAAGAAGCATGGAAACCCATGGATTTTAACAGTACAGAACACTCACAAATCGCAGTGTTGCTGCTTTTATATTTCGGTCTTTGACTTTTGAATGCATACCTTACCGGAAATCTTTCTTCACTTACAGACAGCTCAAAATGTTCTTAAGGCAGAAATCGGAGCCCATCTAAAATTTCCTTTCTGCTAATCACATTAAAGTGTTGACAAAGCAGTTTCCTGCCCATCGTGTTCTTGATAAGCGGTTTCTCTGTTTTCCTCCTATTGTCATTGTCAGCGAGCAGAATAAGACAGGAACAATGCACAAAAAATAAAAAATGAAGCCATCAGAAGTAGGATTTGATCCCACGCTTCCATTCGGAGACCAGAACATCCAAACAAGATGAAAGACAGCAGTTGTTAAGTCTGAAACCTTAGATGCCATCCTGACAAGCAAATACAGAATGTGGGCTGAATTCACCAGTAGTTCACTAAACTGAGTTTCTTCCTTGAACAGATTTGCTTGTCTACAGAGTAAATTGCAAAGTCCAGGTGTGCAAGGCTCATGGACACTAATTCACAAACACGTACTGCTGTAATAAATGCAAAAGGATCTTCCACAAAGTATTAGTTGGGGGGGAGGGGTTCACACTTATGCAACCAGGGTGTTGTAGGTTTATTAGTTTAAATTATTTTTCCTAATAAGTATCTGTTTGTTTTTCTCTTGAATTTTGTTGGTTGCAAGGTCACATTAAGGATGGAAAGATGTCTGACATGATTTATCTTGATTTCTGGCTTTACATCACAAAACCCTGCAGTTTCAATAAGGGTGTGTAGACTTTTTATATCAACTGTATTGTCACTTCCTTTGTTAAGCGCCTTGCGGCAACCTTGTTGTGAAAGGCGCTATATAAAAATAAGTTGAATTTAATTTAATTTAATTTATCCAGAGCATCAAGGCACTTTACAAAACATGCATAGAAAAGTAGAGTATAAATGTCTAATACTTTAGTTTCTGAAGTAACTGCTTGAATAATCCAACTGCCACTGTTGTTACTACTGCTTCTGCTCCTATAACTACTACTACGACCTTGACTTCTGATTCTAATACAAATTCTGATACTTATACTCCTGCTACTACTACTGCTGTCATTACTAGTAATAGTGATAAAAAACAGGGCACTCACAGATCTCTGGACGTGGGTCTGGAAAGTGGTTCCATTCACAAGTGACTCTGGACCTCAACACCTGTTGATGGGTCACCTTTGTCAGACACAGCAGTGGAGCCCAAGCCCACCTACACACATACTCACACACACTGACAGATATATGCCCACACACTCACACACATTATCACACACTGAAAGACACACATCCAAATACTCACACACAGACACTACACACACTCACAGACACACACATAGACACTACGAATACTTATAGACACACATCCACAAACTCACAAACACACACTCCTCACAAACACCACACACAAACAGACACATACACTCATAACTACAAATACACTATAAATAACACTAATACAAATACCACTAATATTGCAACAGTAACACCATCACTAAGACTTACACTATCATCCTCTCTAACACTGACACAAAATACTACTACACTAATAATACTAATAATAACAGTAATGCTATCACTAAAACTAACATGACTACTAGTGTAAATAATCTAACCTTATCTCTGTAATTATCACTAATATTAACAGGAATACTAGCATTAAAACAATCAATAGCACTATCATCATTAATACTCACATGAAAACTATCATTAATATTAAAACTACCGATTGTACTCACACTAATATTAACATGAAGACACTAATATTAGTATTAGTTGCTGTCCGTGACGTCACACCACTCTTTGTGACAAAGGCGAGACACCTAGCCGTGGACAGTGACGTGGCGCCTGTTGCTGTGGTTACCATACTTATGATTTGTAAACAAATGGAAAATGCATTTCAACTGTTACTTAAACAAATTTATCAACTTGGAATATAATTCTCTAGCTCTAGGATTAAATTTTTAAATAATAATTTGAATAACCATTCTTTAATTTTGGATTGAACATTATTAACACTAAACGCACTATGGTAATTGATCGATACAGGCTGTATTGACTGTTTTCTAGATATTACAAACAGGGTCAAAACGGGAAAAGAATTAGTACTCACCAATCCGTGAAGTTAATCAATTATTCTACGGTTCTTCAGTTGAATCAATTAGTTGTCGATAGATAAGTGATCAATAACTCTCCTCCGTGCGCTCCGCTTGCCTCCCGCGGTCTCGCTCTCTGATCCTGGTGCTCTGGCTGGTGACCGTGACGTCACAGCGCTCGTTCTGATGGAGCAGACATGTCTCCGCTGGAGGAGACTCCTGTCCGGAGCCCAGGATATAACATCTTACAGATATAACATCTCCAATAATAAAGGCGATTCGTAACAGCTGGAAATGGAGAGTGACAAACCAAGGAATAAAATTCATTAAACCAAAAAAAATAGTTAACTTCACA